AATAAGATGAAAATAAGCAATTTTTTCTACCTACGTTAAACGACTAGTCTTTGCCATTTTTGGACTTAGTTCAATGACTTTGGCATAAATAAATGGATTGCAATGACTTACAAAAATATGAATTCAAAAGTCAAAACCAAAATATTGACCATTTAAAAATGTCTAAAAATTGACCAAAAACGTGTCACCTTTGTAACCAAAATAACACGACATTATTATTATTATTATTATTATTATTATTATTATTATTATTATTATTATTATTATTGTCATTTCTTTTTGTTTTTTGTACCAAGAATGCTGCAGCATTTGATTTTGTGAGATACATGATTTGCATAATAAATTGTTCGTATGAGGCGACTAATCATTAGACATGTCAATCTATCATACTTTCTTGACGAAAATGGATACCTATGCTATTATATATTCGATTTTTGTTTATATTATTTTTAAAAGTATAATATTTCAATTTTAAAATATAAATATCCATTAAAAAAAGTATGTTTGTCTAACTATTAAATCGTTTAGCGTATAAATGAAATAGAGCAGATAAAAATATTTATAGATAAGGAGGAACATTGATTGGAAGTCAAATATAATAACTACAAGTAGACATGGTACAAAAAAATAATGAAGAGTAGCAATGGACTGTTAAGTTTATCTAATATAAAATGATAGAATCGTATGAGGATTAAAACTTTTTATGAACATACTTATTAATTTTTAATAGTTTGAATTCACATTATTATTTTTCAGAAAAAAAAAAATAATTTTGGCCGTTGGCTGATTAAAACAAAATTATCGTAACCGACTGTTCATAAATGGGAGAAAAGCACAGTAGAATACAATTGGGCCGTCGAACAATTTTTAAAGATGTATACGGCTGATTGTAGATTTGAAATAATAGTAGAGATTCCAAGCTACAGGCCCATCTAATATACAGCCCAAACTGAAAATCCTAAAACTTAAGTAGCCCAGAATTCAAATCTTGATACAGTATTGTTTGTACTGATTGTTGACAACGAGTTATGTGTAAACTTAGTGAATGACCAAGTTATATTTACATCCAACCAAATCATCAATTCATAGACGCGCTTGCGTAGATTGTAAGGTGATACCTGGGGAGTGTGTTGTCCTCCAACATAAGCTGGTGGTGGCGGACTTTCGATTCCGAGTACGTGTCCACCGGGACAAATGTGCCAAGACCGTGAGAACGAAGTGGTGGAAGCTTAAAGGGGAAGTGGCGCAGACGTTTAGGGATAGGATGCTAGGCGAGGGGCCTTGGGAAGAAGGAGAAGATGCAGACGACATGTGGCTAAAGATGGCAACATGTGTACGGAAGGTGGCTGCAGAAGTACTTGGTGTGAGTAGGGGAAGCAAGCAGGTGCAAAGGGCTATTCAAGAGAAGAAAGAGTGTTTCAAACGTCTCCACCTTGACAAGAGTGCAACCAACATTGAGAGCTATAAAATAGCGAGAAAGGCTGCAAAGCGTGCCGTGAGTGTAGCGAAGGGTCAGGCCTATGATGACCTCTATCAGCGCCTAGGCACGAAGGAGGGGGAGAAGGACATTTATAAGATAGCTAGGATTCGGGAGAGGAAGACAAGGGACATCAACCAAATAAAATGCATCAAGGATGAGTCGGATCGGCCACTGGTGAAGGATGGGGAGATCAAGGACAGATGGCGTGAGTACTTCGACAAATTGTTTAATGGGGAGAGTGAGGGTCCTACCCTGGAGTTGGTTGACTCATTTGAGGATACCAATAGATGCTTGGTGAGGAGAATTCGAGAGGCAGAGATCGGAGAGGCTATAAAGAGGATGAAGGGAGGTAAAGCAATGGGCCCTGATGGTATTCCTATTGAGGTGTGGCGATGTTTGGGTGCCAGAGCGTTAGTATGGTTAACTAAGCTTTTTAACCTCATCTTTCGGTCAAACAAGATGCCTGATGAATGGAGGAGAAGTACCTTAGTACCGATCTTCAAGAACAAGGGTGATGTTCAAAGCTGTGGTAACTACCGTGGGATTAAGTTGATGTGCCATACGATTAAGCTCTGGGAGAGGGTTATCGAGCATCGCCTACGACGTGTGACGAGTGTGACCCAAAACCAATTTGGGTTTATGCCTGGAAGGTCGACCATGGAGGCGATTTTCCTAATACGACAGTAGATGGAGAGATATAGGGACCAAAAGAAGGACTTGCACATGGTCTTTATCGACCTTGAGAAGGCTTATGACAGAGTACCGAGGAATGTCATGTGGTGGGCCTTAGAAAAGC